GCATGTGCATTTTGGGGGGGGGGGGACACAGACATTCAGAGCATAGCACCACCTCCAGAGACCAGAAAAGGAAAGCAAAATAAACCCAGAGCAACCAGAAGGAAGAAAGTAACCATGAGAGGAGCAGAAATCATTGAAATTGAAAACAGGAAATCAGTAGAGAAAAATCAGTGAGGCCAGAAGTGGGATCTCAGAGATAATCAATGAAGCGGATAAACCTCTATCAAGACTGACAGACGGAGCCAGAGGAGAACCAGGGCCTGCAGCCTCTAGGTGAAAAATCAGGGGGTATGGTGGACAGCTTCAGCTGCGTAAGTCTGAGAACCTCAAAGTGGACCGATCCCTCCCGAGCCACACATACCACCAGCCGAGGGAACCTGTGGTGAACCGTCCTGACACCACGGCAGAAATGGACATAGTCACCTGCAGGTGCCTGGAGAGGAAACCCACCGGCCCAGAGAGTTCATGGAAATTCCACCAGATGTTTAGAAGAATTAGCACCCATTTCACAGTCTCTTCCAGAAAACAGAAGGTGGGGGGGACACGCCGCAGGTCATTTTATGAGGTCGTGCTCACCCTGAGCCAGTGTGGACGCACCAAACAGAAGGAAAACCTCAAGCTGCAGGCCACTGCCCCACCAGCCAGGTGCAGGTCCCCACGAGCCGTCCAGCAGCTGTGAAGAGCTGTGCTCCGTGGCCACGTGGGGTTCATTCCAGGTGGGCGGGTCCCGCTCATGGTCAGAATGTCGATGTAACACCCTCCCAGCAGGTGACAGACGGGTCACGTAATCCTGTCAGTGCACCAGCACGAGAAAGCATCTGACAAAATCCAGCACCTTTCAGGAGTAAAAAACCCCTGAACTTCTCCCAGCTCGGGGACAGAGGGGAGCTAACTCAGCCTGTAGCGTCTGTGAACACACAGCGTGGTGGACACGGGTGGTAAGGTGGGGAGCAGGTGGGACGATGCTGATCTGGTCGTTCCCAGAGCAGAGGGCTTGCGCCTTTGTGGGCCCAGTGCCGGGTGGGGAGGACGGGGCGAGATAAGTGAAATGCATTGGGGGGGCATTTGTCAGAGAGCGTCGTCTTACAGGGGTCGAGTGGGGCCCTGTTGTGTCTGGTCACCGTCTTGCCGCCACCCTGCTGCCCGCCTGTCTCCCGAGGAGAGGCCTGGCGTCCCTCCCCCTCCTCTGTGGCCCCTGCCACTGGGTTACGGTAGGTTAAAGACTGAATTTTAAAATAAACAGTAAAACACCCTAAAAGCCCTGATGGGAAATGCACATAGATGATCGGAGTGTAAGGAAGGCCGCTGGCACAGCAAACCCGATTTCCCCGAGGCCGGGACTAGTGGTGTCGTCGGGGGACCTCGGGAATGGCAGCCTGGCAGCCGCGGTCCTTCCCCAGCAGGGGCCTCGGTGTTGCCGCCTCCATGCAAGGATCTGTCAGGAACCACAGTGTGAAGGGTCCCCCCCCTCCCGGTCCACTCCCAGCAGACTCCAGTGGGCACAATAGCATGTCACTCTCTCTCCTTCATGTCCTCCCCCAGGTCGCGGCCATCAACCCCAACCACCCACTGGCCCAGATGCCTCTGCCCCCGTCCATGAAGAACTGCATCCAGCTGGCTGCCTGCGAAGCCAGCGAGCTCCTGCCCATGATCCCCGACCTCCCAGCTGACCTCTTCACCTCCTGCCTCACCACCCCCATCAAAATCGCCCTGCGCTGGTGAGTGGCGCCCACCATATCCGCCTGTGACCCACACCCTGGGGCTTCCCACGGGTCCCAAATCACACGGGTCTGAGGAATCTGCCCGGTGTCACATGCTGGGTTTTGGACATGAACTTGGTTCCTGGGTGGGCACTGGGGTGTCCTTGGAGGTCTCGGGGCACCTGTGTCCTGGGGCAGCTGTGTGCGTGGTTTGCTGCAGTGAGCAGTGTCACAGATGGTGCCAAGGTTGGTCAGACCTGAAAGTGCTCTTGTCTTTGAAAAAAGGAAAAGTTGTCATGAAAAGAGAAGTCATTTAGTTCTTTGCTGAGTTGAAGTATAATCTTCCAACTTATTGTGAGCTGTTAAAAAATACCTTTTTTTAACCACTGTTCCCTTTGCCCTCTCAACACCAACGTCTCTGTGTGTAGTTCTTTGGTGACGTCACAGCATGTCTCAGCCGCCAGAGCGGTGGGTAGAATTTGGTTAGAGATCTTCCCTGTGTGGCCCAGCGTGACCTGGCCCCTCTGCATGAGCCCAAGGTGGCTTCGGGGTGACTGCAGAGTCTGCTGGGTTATATAACCTGCTGGGTGCCCTCCTTGAAAAGGAGTTTTTCTCCCCAAACCAGACGGTGCGCTCCCACTGTCCCGTCTCCTGACGCGCACTCAATCAAGATGAATATGTCGACATGTTGTAGCAGCTCCTTTGAAAAGTGGGCACGAGAAGCCTGATTTATGCTGCTGAGAAGGATTGAAGTAGGCAGAGTGGCACGGTCGGCTGCCTCCTCCTGAGCCTGTCCTCGGGGTGCCAGGGGAGCGGGAGAGTGATGGTCCCCTGGCGAGTCCCTCAGCGACGAAGTCAGAAATGCTACGGGGCCCTCGGGAGTGGCTGAGGCCACTGGGGAAGAGGGGGCAGGAAGGGAGATGGGCAGGTGAGGGCCAGAGGTGAGGGCAGGCTGAGGGTGGGCACAGCACGGGCATATGGACAGAGGGAAGGGGAAAAAGAGGGTCCTTTATGGGACAGCAAACATGCTGTACAGGCAGAGAGTGGGTTTCAAGTGAGGACAGCATGTGCTCAGGGTGTGAGGAGACTCTGGAAGCAGGAGGGGAAATGAGCAGTGAGGAAGAAAGGCAGCGGGGACCCGGCTGGCGTGGCTCAGTGGTGGAGCATCAACCTAGGATCCAGGAGATCGCGGTTCAATTCCTGGTCAGGACACACGCCTGGGTTGCGGGCTCAACGCCCAGCAGGGGGCGTGCAGGAGGCAGCTCATCATTGACTATCGTCATTGATGTTTCTATCTCTCTTTCTCTCTCTCTCCCTCTCCCTTCCTCTCTCTGAAATCAATAAAAACATATTTTAAAAAAAAAGAATGGCAGCAGGGGTGCTGTTGAAGGACAGGTTAGAGCCAAGTTGAGGGAGTCTCACCAGAGAGACAGGATTAAGTCTGATTCTCTAAGATGTTAATCGTGAAAAACCAGTGTATGCAAGTTCGGGTGTGTTGGAGTCAACCCCCGGAAGAGTAGAGACAGAACGTTGTCTTCACGCAGAAGAAAGGTGTCTTCTCTGCAGAAGAAGATGGGAAAGAGCAAGGAAAGGAGGGCAGACAGGAAGCTGCTGACACGAGGCCGAGACGAGTTCCAAATAAAAGTGATGATGTGGCTGTAAATGAGTTGACTAACACGCACATGCACACACACGTATACATGTACACGGAGATGCACGTATACATGTACACACAGACACAGGTATACATGTACACAGAGACAGACACGTACGTGTACACAAAGACACGTATACATGTATACACGTATACATGTGCACACAGAGATGCATGTATACGTACACACATATACATGCACACAGACACATGTACATGTGTGTATACATGTACACACATATACATGCACACCAAGACGCACGTATACATGTACACAGACACCATAGACGGGCTCATGATAAAACATTGGGAGGCGCGAGCCTGCAGCTCAGTAAGAGAACAGTTAACTCTGGACCATGAGATGGGTTTCAGAGCTGCTTGATGACTTTCTATTAGGCTGCCTATTAATATAATTCATCATCTTAATAGGCAAATGGAGGAAAGTTATTTGATAAAATTAAAAATGAAGTTTAATAAAAACTACAACAAGAATAGCAGCGAGCTCCCTCTGCGTGAGAGAAATTTCTCTAGGCCAGCAGCCACCCCACATTTCATTTATGCGGTTAGACCTGCGAGGGGGGGGTTAGTTCATTCCTCCAGCTGCTCTGAAGTGTAGTTGGTGTGACAACTGGACAAGAAATGGAACGGAAGGAGTACATGTTCTAAGGAGAAGGCAGATCACAGTGTCTGTGTGTGATCTCAATTGCAGCTTTGCCAAAAAGCCAATGAGATGCTTTGGAAAACTGTTAGCAGAAACATGCATGTTCAGCAGTGGCCGTTACTGAATGAATGTGTCCATGCAGATCCCACGATGGAGTCGAGTGGCTGTCCCTGAGGACGGTGGGAGCAGACTTGAGGGACACACATGGCCTGCAGATTCTGTCGTGGACGAGTCCCTAATCCGGGGACGTCGTCTTGACTTTGTTCTTAAACTCAGGTCTGTGTCCCAGAGGCTCTTCATGTGCCCCTTTTACATTAAAAACAGCCAGCGAGGAAACGCTGGGGGAAAGCAAGTCTGACTCATAGCAGCGACAGACAGTGACAGGAACCAAACCAGCTGCGAGTGGCCTGGACACAGAACATTCACAGGACTTGACTGACAGGCAAGAGAAGGTTTGAATGAGCGGAGGGACTGGCCGGTGTCACGTGGTGAGGTCCAGTCGATTGGGGCTATACATCCCCCCTAGATTAAACCTTAAACGACACCACACGCAGAATGTCAAGGGCAGTAGGAAGAATCGGGGTGAGAACAGCCATGAAAATGGAAGAAAGGGGTTTGTGAAAGAAAAGTCGCCCGGCTGGTGCGGGACGTGCCGCTGAAGGTGCAGCTGGAGAGGAGGCTGGTTCAGGCGGCGGAACAGCAGCTCCGGAGGCGCCTGTGCGGGAATCCTCACCGGAGAGACTCACTCAGTGCCAGGACCTGGGGCACGTGGCCAACCGTTAGAAACTTAAAACCCGATAAATTCCAAATATACTAAAGATTTAAGTGTAAAAAGGAAAACTCACGGGGAGTGGGTGGCCGGGAGCCAAGTCCTGCAGGGCCTTGGGCTGGGGAGGGGCCTGCGTGTCATCTGCCTTCAGGGGGCCTGCAGAGAGCTTTCAGCAGGTGAAGGGACCGGTCACGTTTCCTCTTTGAAAGGCTTGCTGTGGGTGCCGGGCGGAGAACTGATGGAGGAGGGACGGAGGGCAGGCGAGCGTGGGCGTAGAGACTGTTCTGGAAAATGGGAGAGGTGCCGGGGTTCCACCTCCGGCTGTGACTTGAGGGGGGTGATTTCACCCCCCGCCCCCCTGAAGTATCTGGAGACATTTTTTATTGTTAACAACTGGAATGGGGTTGCTGCCGGCATCTAGTCGGGGCGGCTGGGATGCTGCCCCCACAACAGAGTGACCCGGCCCCAAGTGCCTGGCTCAGGAACCTGGCGCGACAACTGATGGCAGGAGGTGAGTGGTGTCAGGGTCTGTGTGACCAACGCAAAGCAGACGGGACTCGCCGCTGTTCGGAGCTGTCCTGTCGGATACAGAGAACCCATCAGAGCTCCCACCAGCACCAAGCAGTGGGCACGGAATAGTGCCAGCTGCTCCGCTTATGACGCAGCTCCTAACATCCAGTCTGTGGGATCATGCGCCGTTGGTTCTTTTGACTTTGCCTGCCGCTTGGCTTCCCCTGCCGGACGGTGACGTTTTCCCCGAGCGCCACGGGTGGCTGACTCTCTGCTCTCCCGCAGGTTCTGTATGCAGAAGTGTGTCAGCCTGGTGCCCGGAGTCACGCTGGACCTGATAGAGAAGTAAGTGGGGCTCCGTGCCCGGCCTCCGCTCTGGGGCTTCTCCACTCCCGTGCTCAGTACTTCCCCTGCGCAGGGATTGTCTGCTTCCCTGGGGTGTTCTGTTCTCTGATTGAGGCCGTGTGTGCCCAGTGCAGGACATAGCTCGGTGTGGGATCGGATCAAAGAAAGGGATCAACATCTGGATCCTCCTGATCACTTAACACTCCGACCCTGAGCCGGAACAGACATGGACCCCCACGTGCAAACCACCTGGTCCTGGGGCAGCCGCAGGGCAGAGCTGGGCTTCTGCTGACCCCACCTGCCCATTCTGTGTTCTGCCTTAGGGCAGGTGCGAGGTCCAGGCAGGCCGCCCCCATGGCCCCTTCACATTGTGTGGCCTCTGCGCACCCTGGTCACTGGGCAGGCCCGTCCGCCTCGGGTCGGGAGCCTCCCAGGGTCTGGGTGCCGCCTCCTGACCTGCGCTTGGCCTGCATTTTTGTGTGTGGCTCCTTGGACTTGTCCCAACTCGTGCAGCGGGTTGTCCTCAGACACTGCTCTGGACCCCCTGCTTCTGGAATTGGCATAGAGGTCGGTTTTCTAAGTCTTGAGATGCAAAATGGTGCGTTAAAACAGCTGAGGGTTTCCATGGGTTAAAACAGTTAAGGCAGGTCAGAAGAGCAAATCCACCTCTGGGTCCCTCCTGGCGTGCCGCCCAGGAGCCCAGGGACACGCAGGAGTGTCACCTTGAGTTCCATCGACAGGACCCAGTGGTCGGCCGCAAACGTTATGCTCCAGGAGCAGCGCTTGCCGGCTCTCGGCAGGTCGTGAGCGGTGGTGAGTCTGGTGACAGATGGGGCTACACATGCGTCCAAACCACCTATAGACGCTGAACACACAGTGCGATCCTCCAGAAACGTCCCGCGGAAAAGAGTTTAAATCTAAGAAAACACCAGGTCCGCCTGGTCAGCCCCTCCGTCTAGTTCAGTTCTCTGGCAAGGTTTCAGGGTCCAGTAGGCCACCCTGCTTGCCAGTCGGTGCTGGGCGCTGTCCTGTCTTCATTTCCCTGCATTTCTGAGTCAGGACTGCTCTGCCCCCTGCCCCGTGGGTTGTCTTACACATGTAATTTCTCAAACTGTGTCCATTAAGATTTCAGCAAAGCTGCATTTTATCCTGCGCTGCTTCTTGCCTGCTCAGACCTTCCCTACAGGGTTTTACGTTTTGTTGATGTTTGATTTTTGCCTCCTGGTGACCTGGCACATGCAGGGCTGTGCTGTCCCTCTCCTCCAGTTTTACTGACGAGGAGCCTGGTGTGCAGTGTGCTCAGCCTCCCGGTGGCGTTTCCCCCGCAGCAGCTGGCTGGTCGGGCCATGTCCCTGGGGTCCTCCCCACACACAGGCCCTTCCTTCCCCCAGACGGTGGTTGGGACAACTGGCTCCCATCCTGTCACTGTCCCAGTTTCAGAATGTGAGCAGCAACTTGATACCCTAACTGTGCTCCACAAAAGAAAAGATTGGTAGCCTGGGCCTCATCACAACTTAAAATGCTTATTCTCTGAAAGACACAGCTCAGAGCCGAAAGACAAGCTATGGACTTGGGGACGTTTGCAAATCACACAGCTGAGAAAGGACCTGTATCCAGAATGTATGAAGGATCTAACCCCCAAAATAAGAAGAAAGCAACTCAGTTAAAAAATGGGCAAAAGACGTGAAGAGACTGTACAGGGGACTTAGGGCCAGAGAGCACGTGAAAAGGTGTGGGAAGGCCCGGCGGGCAGCGGCCGTGCGTCCCCCTGCTTCCAACGCGAGGTTAATTTCACCAGTTGACTGAAAAGAAAGGCTGCTGCCCTGTTTTTAATTTAGAGTTTTGTTCCGGGGCGCCGGCCGTCTAGAACACGTCAGCCAGCAGGTTTGAGTCTGTG